TCGCTGAACCAAATGCGATAAGCTAACTCCATATCTACGACGTCAAGTACACTGCCAGCTGCCTTCTAGACGAGAACCCTCGCCAGCGTCCTGACTTCCACGCAACTGGCACCACACATGTCTGAGATCCGCCGGCCGGCGCCGGGCGGGTTCGCCAGTCAGGCGTCGGTCAGCGGCCGGCGGGCGCCCTCTCAGCGCCGCCGCTCTTCAGCCCCGACCCCGGTCCGGCCGTGGGCTCCAGCGTCGTTCCGTCCGCTCAGCACAGTTTTTACCCCGCCCCTGAGTGGACTGGACGGATCGCTCTTTTTCGCCGGTCGCCCCCGCCAGCCAGGCGCCAACCGTCAGACTAATTAGAACTAATAAAATCCAACTTATGTCACGGGAATGATATAACTGTCGACTTCTTGTGTGCGAGGATGAGCATGATTGACGAGGAGCGCGGTGGGAAGGAACCGGGCCATTCAATGCGGGTCAACTTGCCAGCGTCACGACCTGGTCCGGCTCTGAACACAGGGATCTCCTCGGTACAACGCCATCCCCTCCTGGTTGAAATGATAAGTAGAGGGCCAGTGACTTCTTTTTAAGCAGACTTCGTGGAGATCTCATACGTGTCTTTCTCTTCCCATTGGCCGATGGGCTCCATTTCGCGACTTGGCTTTTTTGCAACTATCCGCATGAATTTCCTTTCAAATTTCTGCCCACATTCCTCCGCACTGACTTGCAACTTGCAAAACAGGACGGACGGACTGTATCGACGTCGACGCATAGTTTACCACAAAGATCCACTCCTTTCTAATGGACCCGTGCGCTCTTACAGCGAAGTGGAACTATCAGTCCCCGCGACAGTGATGGATGTTCGACTCCGCCACCACCCCGTCTATGGAACTCGGTTCACGGCCGGGCACAGCTGATTGACAGAATCGACCGAACGGCTTCCGGGGCACAGCGCACGAGGGCGTCACCTTCGTCCTGCAACCGATATGAGTTCATGTACCGGCCGTGCCGAGGTGCAGACGCTTATCGTCTCGAGCGGCCCATCTGTAACTGTCTGAATGACAAAGCGTGGGGCTTATTTATAGACGCAATGAGGCCGCGCGAAGGAAAAAGCGTGCTGGGCCTAAAAGTGGTTGAGATGAGCTAGATACTGGAGGAGATCGGTCGTGGGATGGACGTCGGGAGAAGCGGCAGTTGACCAGCGGCAACTGTGGGGCGGATGATGTTTGTCCGTTATTAAGCACAGCCGGGTGATTGCGTCGTTTGCCTTCTGGCGGCATGAAGATGGTCATGCTTGATCTCCCGCCTCCATCGGACTGTGCTCCTCCAGAAAGTACACCGCTTGAAGAGGCTGGGCGGTTAGACATGCTGTGGATGAAATGTCCGACCGATATCCGGCAGAGGCCCCCAAATAGTGGTCCGCCGACCAGCGACTAGGCAGCAGTGATGAAGCACTCAGCTGTCGGCCAGCGGCGGCAGCCAGCCGGAAGTCTTTTAGCGGCAGTGAGCAAGCCAGAAAACCTCTACCCAGCTAGAGTTCCGGCAGCGTGTGACCAGCCAACGACGGCCACCCAGCCGCTAGCCAACCAGCAACGGCCGACTCAGCGGCGAGCTCGCTAGCGGCCAGGCCAACCAGCCAACAGCTGTCAGCCAGCAGTGGTCAGCCGGGCGGCCGGCCAGCCAGCGCCGGTCAGCGCGGGAGGGCCTGCCGAGCCACCAGCCGAGTGACAGCACCCAGCTGAGCGACGGGAGCGACGCTGCCTCCCGGCCTCCCGGCCTCCCGCCCGGGGGTGGCGGCCGGGGCCGGCCGTCACAGTTCCTCCCCGTCTGATTAACGCCAGCTCGTCGCCGGCCGGGCACGGTGGATTAGCTCCGCGATGGATCGCCGTGCAGGGATGGCCCGCTTCATTAGAGGCGACTCAGATCGCCAGACCCGCGCCGGGACAGCTCGGGAGGGTCACGGCCACCGGCGTCACCTCTGGTCTGGGAAACTTGGGTCACGGCGTCTCACGCGGCTTCACGCCAGAGGGGAGCGCAAGTCGGGCGGATCTGCCAAGACGCGAGCAGCATCTAAGGTCTGAAAGGTGTCGGGGTAAGAATGGTATGCAGCAGTGCGGCAGAAACTAGACTCATAACATGGATCATCGACATTCTAAAGTGAGTTGTGAGCATTCGAATGCATTTCTGAGTACTGCATTTGGAACAAACAGGCCCCCGGGCTGCTTCTCCTCGGATGCCAACTTCTAACGCACCCCGAATCCATTTCCGGCGGGCTGAAATCCGGTCTGGTCTCATCCTCACTGGACCGGGCCCGGCTAGGTCGGATTCTTGCCCTTGCCCGGACCCGCCGGGCTCCCGCCATGCATGACCTTAATCATGCGGACTTCGGACTGTCCGCCACTGCTTGGGTCGGATTCCCGTTCTGGCCCGGCTGGACTCGCCGGACAGCCCTGCCCAGCCCGGGCATCCGCCCTGCCCCGAACCTCCCCCGTCCGGACTCCGGACTCTCCGCTGTCCAGTGTCCGGGCCGGATTCCTGGTCGGATTCGGGACATGACGCACACCAGAGCTGCGCCAGCCGGTAGAGCTCGGATTTTACGGCCCATAATTGAGCCTGATCTCACGCGATATGTCGGCCTCGGCTGGCGCGGTGCATAAACCAAGCAGCGGGAGCTCCGTCGGCCAGATAAGCCGGCGGGTGACGAAACGGCTGAGGAGGGGTGGGCAAGCAGGCGTGCGCCTGATATACACCCCACCGGGCTTCAGTCAGAGGGCAGGGACTGGGTGGCTGGGAGGGGTGGGCAGCAGGCGTGCGCTGATCTACACCCCCACCGGGCTTCAGTCAGAGGGCAGGACTGGGGTGGCTGGGAGGGGTGGGCAGCAGCCGTTGCGCTGATCACACCCCACCAGGCTTCAGTCAGAGGGCTGGATGACTGGGTGACTGGACGGCCGGTGGTGAACGTTTGCCGAATTACGCTCAAACAGGCTTCATACATGTCAATTGAGAAAAAGAGAAGCCCACCCAATAGAGTTTCATAAGCAGTCAGCCTGACAACGGCAGCAGGCAAATGCACAACATGGTGTGTGATGCACACGATGATGAAGCTGACTGCTAAAAGACATTTAACTGTTTTTGCGGCAGACGCAATTGCAAGACGCTAATTACTGATTAGCATACAATGTATCTCGTCAACCGCAGCCAATTCAGCCTCGTCGTCCCGCCTGCAGTCACGAGAGGAACGTTGTAGGGCTGTGCAGTGTTATTCTCAGGGGAATCAACGTCTGGAATCGCGTTTCATTAGCTCACTTCACATCGTGAGAAGGGGCATTATGTACCGTAGATACGGTCCCGTCTTGATCGCCGCTGTTGTATGACCTGTTCACATAAGGCGCCCTCACGAAACACCTCACTAGTCTGTCCTCCCTGCCGCAGGTACGGTGCGCCCTACGATCTGGCGGCGAGAAGGAAGAACGCCACCCGCGAGTCCACGGGCACGCTGAAGGCGTGGCTGAACGAGCACAAGAAGAACCCGTACCCGACCAAGGGCGAGAAGATCATGCTGGCCATCATCACCAAGATGACGCTGACGCAGGTCTCCCACGTGGTTCGCCAACCGCCCGGCGAAGGACGTGAAGAAGGAGAACAAGATGACCTGGGAGCCGAAGAACAAGACGGGAGTCGGACGAGGAGGCGGACGACAATGCCGCGGAGAAGGACAAGACGGACAAGGACGAAACGGACGGTGAAAAAGGTCAGACCATGACAGGTTCGGTCCATCAATTAGGACCGGCCTTTTCGCCCAAATGAGACGGGCATGAGATTCCGCACGCCGCCAAGCTGATGCTGCCCTTCCTCGCATTCGCCAGCCGCCTCACATTGGGCCGTTAGTTTGCATGACTTTCGTGAAGGCGCTGTAAAATGCTTGGTTCTTGCGGTGCGCCAACTTTGCATTTCATTTCTTCTGTTGGATTTTTTCAATGCATCGTTGATCAATTATCTATCAATTCAGTTTATTCATTTGATGTCATGCGCTCGATGTTTGCATCCCAAATGTGTTTCGCTTAAGAGTATCATAACAACTTTGACATCATGCTATGTTTTCGATCCCCTCAGAAAAAGGCACGCTGTATTATCCAAGTAGCCCAAAACGTATCAGACTATAAGAAAACCCACCGTTTTGGTAACTAATAGAGCGCGCAGTCCACACACACATAAAATTCGCAATAGCTTGCAGCTAGTTGCTCAAAACTCGTAACTTATCTAATCGCGTAACTGATCGGGATATTCATGTCGCATCGTCACCATTCCAGAGTCGCCGCTGAGCAACGCCCGCGAGCGAAGGCTTGTCGCCGCTGGCCCGGGCCGAGGTCAAGTCGGAGACGCTCTCGCCGGGCGGCGACTGGAAGGACAAGCCGCTCGACGACTGCAGCGACCCGCAGAAGCCCAAGATCTGGTCGCTGGCCGATACGGCCGTCTGCAAGACGCCGCCGCCGCCGCCGGGCCACGGCTGGCCTGCCGAGCGGCTGCCGGCAACACACCGCAGCCACCACCTTCCCGCTGCCGCCCACCATCGCGCCCGGCGCCGCGCCCTTCTCCCGCTACTCGCACCAGGCGCAGGCGCAGGCGCAGGCGCAGGCGTCGCCGGTCGCCGCCGCCTCGGCCGCCTACCACCACAGCTAAGGCGGCGGCGGCGGCGGGCGGCGGAGGCGGAGGCGGAGGCTACGCCAGCGCGGCGGCCGGCGGCGGCGGCTACGGCGGCATGGTAGCGCCGCCGCCGCCCAGCCTGCCGGCCGCCGGCGGCTCGTACAGCGACGCGCCGACCGACACCCCGCCGCAGACGCCGCCCAGCCTCAGCTTGGCCAGATGAGCTCGCTGAGCAAGCTGGCGCACCTCAACAGCGGCGCCATGGGCTACGGCGGTTCCCTACCCGGGCTCGTCGCTGGGCTCGACCCGTCCGTCGACGCTGGAGCGGCGCCCGGACGTGTACCCAGACGCAGCTGTCGGCCCAGCAGCAGCACCACCTCCAGCAGCACCAGCAGCAGCAGCAGCACGTGCAGCAGAGTCAGCAGACGGCGCGACAACAGATGCCTGTGGAGATGGCCTCATACGCCGCCGCATACAAAGAGTGAGTGTCCCGCGATAGGGTAGGGAATCAGCTCTCTCGACATCAATCAGCGGCAGGTGGACAAATTGCACCAGTTTTTGCCCAGCTGGCAGGCGTTTCATCAAGGTGGCCAGATAGCGAACGAGCGGGCGCAGGGTGGTCCCTTGTACCGCTTGTCACGTCCCACTTGTTTTTGCCCAGCCTTTTCCACTACTTCTAATTGATCTGCCGCATTTTGCACGGCTACCCGAGCAGAAAACTTTGACCCACTGGCCCAGCCCACCTCAAAAAACCGCTCTCGAGTGGTTCGGTTGTGCACCAGACTGGACAGGTCTAATGTCTATATCAGTCGAGTCGCAAAAATGCCACCTTGTAATGCGCTCACATACATCATGTGCGCGATTTCCTCGGATTACGTCAGTACCGCGGCGGCGGTTCCCAAGGTAGGCCGGCTTCACTGCGAGGAAGTCAGGCCAGGTCTCACCCGTCCGGGACATTCCGCCCGGCTCCGGTGTCAACCGCAGCGACGGTCGCTGAGACAGCCTCAGCTCCGCCTGGGACGCCCCACACAGCACCTGGTACACTTCAGGCGCTGCAAAGGACGCGCTGTTACACGTGATCTCACGGCACCGCAAATTCAAGGCTAGTGTCACGACACCGCTCGGGCAGCGGAGCGAGGGACAAATCTGACGCAACCCCAGCGTGTCACCGGGCTCGGGGTGAAGACGGCCGCTTGACGAGCGGGCACGATAAGCAGCTACCGACCCAACACCGTCAAAACAGCGCCGCATCGCGTTGGCCATCGGGTGCAGAGCCCCAAATGGGGAAGCTGCATCGCAGTACCGGCAAAGGCGTCGCTCCTGCCGACGGATGCGCCCGCGTCCGTCCTCAGCGGCTCCGCATTCATCTGCGTGTCGCGGGGCGGGTGTGAGACGCCTAAGGCCTGCTCCTTTAGAGGATGTCCTGGTAGCCTGCCCACCGCCAGGCGTCCCCGCCTCGGCGCCTCCAGACCTGCTCGACCAGACCACCTCGACCTCGACCTGCCGCCACCAGACTTGCTTCAGATGTCATCTCTGCGTGCGTGCGTCCCGCTCTCGGCCTCCTCGGTGGGCGCACGACAGGCGCTCTATCTACCGCAAGAATGCTGTCCAGGGCGTCTCAGTCACGCCAGGACCACATTAGCATTCCGGCCGCCGGGTCCGCGGACACCTGTGTCGTCGCGCCGGGCGGGGGCGGCCACAGCGCGCGCAGTCGCAGGCCCTGACTCGGCGCGGGGGCGGAGCTCTCCACCGGGGGTCGGGTCATGGTATGCTGGGGGTCGCAACATGGTGTCAGACTGAAACACGACCTCGGGTCGTGTCAGGGTGTTAGGTTATGGTGGGTCGTTGAGTCGCAGGATGGGGTCAAATGAGACAAGACGTCGGACCCTGGCAGGTGTTGTGGAGGGCTGTCAGGTAATGATTGAGTGTCATGTTCTGGCACAACGTCACGGGCGCTGGCATCATGTCTCGGTACCAAATCACGATAGGATGGAAGGCAACGACAGGGTATTTGGCTACGATAAGACTTCCGATTTCATCGAGGTGTTGAGCTCTAGCCCGATTTCAGGCTGCAAGATGTCAGCCACTGGCTGGATATCGGGTCACGGTGCACTGTCAGCCACGGCGATGCTTCAGGTCATTGACGTGAGATGAGGTACCACCGCAGACCACATTTCACCCCATATCACCACACGTGACACAGGTCACGTGACACAGGTTACGGCAGTCACGTGACACAGGTCACGTGGGTCAACATGTCACGAAAGGTAACTGGCTATGGTGCAGCACAGATCAACACGGGCAACAGCTCACACAGGTTGTCATGCCCATCCCGGGCGCAAGTCGGTCCATGTCCCATGGGGTGGCTTGGGACTGACCTGGCACAGACCACAGCAACACGGCAGCACACGCCACTTCACTGCATCGTGATGCTGCGCCGCTGTGACAGGCCACGTCGGACGAAAGTGTCGAATCACGACCTTTTGACGTTGATTCTTGAGGCCATTCCCAAGCCTCGCAGATGGCAATTCGAGAAATCCTGATAACGTACACGTACATGCACACAGACACACACACAAACACACACACACACACACACACACACACACACACACACACACACACACACACCACACCACACACACACACACACACACACACACACACCCACACACACACACACACACACACACACACACACACACCACACACACACACACACACACACACACACACCACACACACACACACACACACACACACACGCACACACACACACACACACACACACACACACACACACACATATATATATATATATATATATATATATATATATATATATATATGTATGTGTGTGTGTGTGTGTGTGTGTGTGTGTGTGTGTGTGGCCATACCTACAGCAGTGGTCAAACAAACAATAGCAGCAGCCGCTTCAGATGCTGTGCATCGTTAGATTGTTCGTTTGCACGGTTCGTGTGCGGTAATTGTCACTCAGATCCCGTTGGGGGCAGCTGAGGTGCTAATTGGAGGACGGGGATAGCCAGCGCTGGCTGCAACAATCACTGCAATCTATGATACGCATTGCAGGTGCAGGTGGTGGTGGATAGGTGGGGAGATGTATACATATGTGGCGCGTGAACAAACCAAAATGAACGCTCAGAGGACGTTCGGTAGTGAAGGTAGGTCAAAATAGTGAGATACAAATGCATAGATGGCTGTGGGGCGAGGTCGTCAGTGATTCTATCCTTTCCCCTCCAAAAACTCTTACCTGCGTGCACCTTTGATCTCTCATGGGTTACGGCCGAAGCATCCAATGACTGCAGTACAGCGAGCTACAAAAGCAGGATAAAAAAGGTGTTGAACGTTAATATTCGGAGCTTTGCTTATTCACCCACTGCGCTCCTTTGACGGGCGTATGAGCTCTAATTCTGGCTCGCTCGCCGGTGTTGTTTTAAACCGTAAAAGGCTGGTTATTTATAGACACGTACCGCCAACCAGGCTATATCGCGCTATCTACTACACAACCTCGTGTCCAGGCAGCGCGTAGGCGAATATCTTACGAACGACTTTCGAATTCCATAATCTGCACCAGATATGCCGGGCTGCCGAAATAATTGAAATCATTATCGCGAAACGCGTCCCACGCGCGAACCAAACTTGGAGCTGGATGACATATTGCGTGCCGTTTACGACGTGCGTGACACGATGGCTGAGATAAGATGTCAACCCAGATTAGCTGACACCTGGATCGGTGCACTTTATTACTGCACATCTTGCGCAACGATGCATACTCGGCGGCATGGCGCCAGCACGCATACAAAGGCGTGAATGTTGGAAGGAAACGGCCGAGCGATACCCGCCCTTCGCTGATGCTATCCGACAGGCAGGCGACGTGCCATGCCAAACGACTCGGAGCAAGGGAGGCGGCGCCACGAGCGACAAATTCAGGTCAACACGGTAACACCTGTCTTCAGGGAACCGCTGGCCTTCCTCGGCCGCCGCGATGTGGAAGGGAAGTTTGCGATGTCCTTGCACGGCCTCTCCTGCTGGGTACGCGGATGGCAAGTTGTTCCTGCCATATGGAGCGCTGCGGTGCGCGTTTTTGTTCGTGGAAACAATGACCGAATTCTGCCAGGCGAGAGGGCAGCCTGATCAGCTGCTGCGTTCAGGGCCACTCGACCGATGACACAATGACTGATAACCCCCCAGCAACGTCCCTGGCTTCGTGCCTGGCATTCCACACGCTCTTCAGGTTCATGCAGAGGCCTGGGATATTCACGGCCTGCGCCCAGCCGATGTTCTCTCCACCACACGCCAGTTATTCTGTAGCCCGGTGCAGCAGACCGTTCTTGGTTGTCGCCCGGCTTCAATATGAGCAGCACTGCTGCGGCGTTCCAGCCATTCGTTGACAGCGGGAAAGCCTGAGACACGAGCCCGCAGCTGCATTTCAGTTCGATGTGGTTGAGAAACGAGAAAGGAAAGCGAATTAAAGGGCGAGAAGCGGCAAGAAGGCTCCCTCTGTCGTGCGTTTTCTTTCTCTTGTCTTTTCTTTCCGTTCTCCAAAAGTTTCTTCGCCTCAAAGTTTCCAAGCTCCTCTTCCTTTCCAAAAAAGAAGGACGCGCGCGGCTGCTGCCTGGCGTGCGGATGCAAACACTGCCTGCTGTGGAACGTTTATTGTGGGAAGTCTGGGAAGTTAACAGAGCCGCGATAGCGCGGCTCTCTTCAGTATTCACATACTATTTTGTTCTCCTGCAATCCCTGCCTCGAACCTAGCGAAAGTCAGTTCCTCAGTCAGCTCCCGTCTCTGTCCCATCTTTTCCCCCTGTTCTTTTCCTGTGCCTTTCCGCCCACTCTGTCGTGCCCCCCTGTTCCGTAGTCTTCTCTTTTCGTTCTCCAGACGTCTCTCCGTTTCCAAGCTGTACCTGAGGCCCTTCGCCACTGACATCTCTCCGTCCCCCAGGCGTATATCTCCGTTCCTCAGCCATGCTTTTCTGTTCACTAGTCGTGTATTTACATTCACTAGTCTCGTCTCTCGTTTCAGCGGTAGTTCCGGCTCCGTCCCGCCGGCCGAGTACGTGTCGCCCGTGTGAGGGCGTGACCTCCGGCCCGGCCGGCCGACCTCTGACCTGACTTCCGGTCGGGCGCTCCTGCCCACTGAGGTGAGCGGCCGTCTCTCTCCCGGGGACCGCCGGCCGGCCGACCGACACCGCCCGCCGGAGCTGGCCGGGTGGTTTGTCAGCTTAACACCCTTCCACGGCACGATGCTGCAGGAAATTAATCCTGCCAATTACTTGGCAAGATCGGCGCGCGATAGCGCCACCACTGTCACCTCGATGTAAGGCCGTACATCACTATCAGAGGCTTAACGACACCAACTTTGTCCAGTGTCACGGGACGCCTGTCCAAAACGACTGGCCTCCGCGTATGATACTTTTTAAGGCCGAGTCAGCATCAGGCTGCGCACTACAAATGACGTCTTCCCGTTTTGTCGACGCTGCCCGCCCGATGCGGTGCTGATACGCCGTCCCATTGTTTGGTCTACTTGTGCAGCAATCGGTGGGCGCGACGCTTATTCTCGACCAGAAATGCTCAACTCAGGTCCTGAGCTCGCGATTAGCATGGCGTGCTGCTCACCATTAACTCCATGATGGGCCTATGCGATCAACAGGAAGGCACATTGCGCAGTGTTTTTACGAGTGTTTCCTGCTTTGGCAGGCATGTTTGCAGGTCAGGGTTCGTTTTCTTATCGCTAGATGCGCGGTGGACGAGGAGTCAGCTATCGCCGGTCATGCGGTGCCAAAGTCATGTGACACACAACAAACTCACCGAGAGATGCCCGACGGCGAGATGCCCGACGGAGAGATGCCCGACGGCGAGATGCCCGACGGAAAGTGCCCGACTTTTTGCGGAGCTGCTTTCAACGCCACTAACAAAGGACACCCCTGTTGCAGAATGATCGCCGTCTGCCATAGTGCAATACGTCCCCTGCTGGCGACGACAACATTATTATCTGCAAGGGGGCCTGACCGGTGCAATGACCTTGAGCAAGGTCCTGCTTCGGCCGCCACCGCCGCTGATTGGAGCAGCGACGTCCAATCGGAGGAGCGGCGTTGTGCCGGGTGTGACCTGCAGCTGGAGAGCGCCGCGCTGCAGTGAAGACGACCCCGTGACCTGCTACGTGAAAGCTGTGATATCATACGTATTTGATGGACCGGTTAGTCCTATAGTGCATACGTAAATGTCGTGTAAAATAGAGGAGTAGACAGACGTGCTGACGCCGAATGTGTTGGCTCGGTACACGGTGATGTGTTTGCGTGCGTATTTGCCGTTTTCTCATCGTGTTAAGTTGATTGTGCCAAGGCAATACCGTGGCGTTACACTGTTGTTGACTAGCTTGTCTTCGTTTGCTCTGCTGTTCCCTCCCGCCCGCCCTTAGCACCCAAGCTATGGTTGTGGTCGGTGGAACTCTGTTCATAATTGGTGCCATCATTCGGGTTTCTTCGCCATGCCTGTGAAGCTCGCTGTGACATACGCTACCCTTGAGTCGCATTCTTGACCCATGCAATGTTAAGCCAGGGGCGTGCGAGTTAGTGCGTCTATTTGAACATGATGATGTGCTCGCTTTGTCCCCGCAGTTGTGGAAGCCATCAATCTCAACCGCTCTTTCGCCATTGCGATACGAATCCCACTGTGGCCATGATTTTAAGTACTTGACGAGCTGTCTTCCTCGGTCGAGCGCGCCCAGCACTGTCTCCGTCGCTGTTCATACTGAACCGCGTCCCCCCCTCCCCCCAACGACAAGCCACGGCTGACCTTGACCCTTGACCGTCGTGACCTGCGTGCGTCGATCGTCGGTGTCAACGCCAGGTCGAGGGTTCAGCCACGCTCGCGTTTCAGTCACACAAAGGCACTCAGTGCCGGTCGTTGTGCATGGCTTTCACAGGGTTGCTTCAGCGCCACCTCGCACACGTCGTTACGCGTCGTTGCCCACCCAGACAAGTGTGACAGACATCTTCCGCCACACAATGACAATTATATCTCACGCCAAGCTATCCTGCAGACTGGATCAGTCGCCCTTCGACAGCCTGCTACCACAGCCGCCTGACATTGACCTGACCTGTGGGGCCTGTGTATCCTGGTCGAAGATACGAGCCGCGCAACTAACGTGTTCCTGCCGAGTCCTCGTTACACATCCCGGTTCGGTACGTTTCTGTGAATGCTTGTTCCCATCCTAAGCTTGAGCGGCCGGTCTGCCCAGTCATAATGCTGCCATTGTTCAATGTACATACGTGTCGAATGGAAAAATATAACCTGGAATGGATATTGTGTGTGCATATGGTGAAGGGCGTGAAATGCTGCTGTCTGTATTGGAAAAGGCGGCGTCCGCAAGGGCTATGGAACACGTTGAACTCTGAATATGAAGTGATGATTGAAACATATCAGTTCGATAAGGACTTGTTATGTATATGGTGTGACAGTATAGCCCTAAAACCCCGTGCACCAATACAATTATTCCGGTTTCGAGCGCCTTCATACAATTCTTCACCGTTTTTATCATCGCCATTATTCTCTACGCCCTAAAACGGCTGCAAACAAATGTAGCAACCACATCACAGCGGCAGCCCACGCACACAGCGTGATCTCGGAGGTAGACAAAACGTCAATAAATGCCCAGCCTTTTCTGAATAGAGATGTTTTTCTGTCAGTCACCGCGTCCCCGGTGGGAATGGCGCCGTCACAGCCCCGCTCCCCGGAGCTTTTTTCAATTGGTCTGGGCTGAGCATCACTGGCCTGCTTTCAGCCGGGGAGCGCCGCGTCCCGCCCGTCCCTTCCCCTCATCCAAAGCCCGCCGTCCCCTCCGCGGCCGAGCACGAACACGGAAAAGGTGAGACGACCAAATGGAGCCGCGCGGAATAACAATGCGCCTAATGGAGATGAGTTGGCTTTGATTTAAGATCGGTCACCTCCCCCCGACCGATGCCCTCAGGGGATCCGCCGCGAGCCAGATGGGCGCAGATCGACTTCGGTGGGGGAGCTTGCCGAGGGGGGGGGGGGGGCTGGTCCCCTGACTCAGCTGCCAGCGAAGAGGGGGTATACCGTCGGACAGTGACGCTGGCCGACCACCGGGTGGTAATTAATTTATTCGGTTTGATGGCCGTTGACGTGGCGCCAGATGAGAGACCGATGGGTGTGCCGCGCGCTGCGGCCGAGGTATCCGGTGCTGTTTGGCCGGCTCCGAGGGTGAGCTGGCAGCGCGACCCGGCAGTAAGGTCAGTGCTCTCCACTTTTTAACGCTTTAAAAATGTTCTCCGAGCAGTTCACACGGGCAGCTTCCGAACATATCCCTGCCTTGAGGTGGTTGTGAGCTCCCTGAGCCTCACGAGAGGGACACGTCTGCGGAGCATCAGCGGAGGTTGCGGTTCTCGACGCCCATCTGCTTCCTCCTTCGCCCTTTTCTCCGTGAAGGGCTTAGCGTCGGACGTCGAAAGCAGACCGTCGTTCTTGCACGTTGCCAGGAAGCACACATGCACAGGTCGAGTCAAGCGATCGTACCATTCGGTGACCCGCCCTCAAACCTTCCCTAACTCGCGTCTCGGACCTGCGTCCCGCGTCGGCCACCTCAGTGCGAAGTCAGCAGCAGCATGCAGCGTGCAGCGTGCAGCATCCCGCGAGACACATGCGGGCGGTCCGGCGCATCACGGAGATCATTTGGCAACCACTGAGAGCTTTACGAGTGGATGTAGGCTCTGGACAGTCCATTCAGACCGCACAATCCTTTTTGCGAACGAAGAGCGGTTTTCTCTCGTTTCGTTCCCTTTGTTTTGCTCCGAGCTGCGCGAGCCGAGCGAGCCAACTGGAGGGTCATTTATCTGGGGGCGGACAATCCGTATTTGGCTCAGCCTCGCGGATGGACGTTGAGGGAGCTCCCAGCCTGGCGAAATTTGGTGCGGTCGCTTAAACAGACGTGACTGGCAAAAATCTCCAGGGATGTGTTGCGCCGTTCGGCAAAAACAGAAATGAAACAAAGGTAGAGGAATTGAGTTCTGTTCGCCGCGTTAATAACGTTTAACTTTATTCTCCTTGCATTGGCGAGGCAGAAGACAGTATAGCAGCACGTTAAATTCTGTTGACGGTTTTGTGTGTCCATGCAGAAGAGCTTGCAAATCTTGACGTCCACAAGAACTGCAAGGTGCATGCATGTTATTTGCCCGCAGCAAGAAACGGAGCAAATATGAAGCTAACAAGCAACAGTTCTTTAGGCCATGTTGTTTTAATCGCCCCGCAAACCGTGAAAATTGGGTGTTAGTTGGGTGCGTCAATTTTCCAACGCCTCGGCGATAGTGGGAGGGCAAATAAAACTTTGCATAACAAATGCGGATGGGTGCTAAAACAGCTGTAAAATGGACACGGTTGAAGCCCATGTGCAGATGATAACAGTGCGGTCGATGAGGTCATTCTCGCGCGGGCAATACCACCAGGCCCGGGTCGCGTCTGTTGATGGGCTAGCCATTGTGCCACAATGGGCGTGGAGCCGTGGTAACGCATACATCAGCATTGATTCACCACCAGCGCTGGTGATGAGTATAATGCGATGCTGGTGATTTCCACTTTAATGCAGTGTTGATAGTTGCCATCAGTTTGTACCATGTATCGCGATCCTGGTATTTGGACGTGATAAACGGGATGTAAACAGCTAGGCCCCGTCGGTATGATTGCAAGATTAAGCCATGACGCTTTATTGGCTCATAAACGATGGGTATTTGAGTGATATCAATCCATACATCCAGGAGCGGCGCAAAAGGGGAGAAAGGTGCAGTTGCACTCCTAGGGTGCAGGGTGCAGTTGGCAGTCAGGGGGAGCAAGGCGCATGTTTTTGCCCCCGGAAAGCACTGGGCTCAACCTTTGAATTTTTGGGAAATCTCTTCCAGGGAATTTTTGGGATACTCCTTTTGTACACTCACACTTGAGTGCCTCCTAGCTACAATATCTTGCCAAATTCAGGTCAACCAGGAGCCATTGCTGAGCTAGGTGGTTCGAAACAGTGAGATAGAATCGCTTTTGAACCAGGGTGGGAGTGAAAAATTACATCACAAAAAGACCGTGCAGGAATGGAAAAGTTAATTCAAAAAGTTGGAACTTATCAGTCAGTGAAAAATGCTCCAGCAAACAAAGACCTACATTTAAAGTTGGCATGAATGTAATATCATAAGCATGCCAAAACTGTTTTTGTTTTTTAATCTCCTAGGTTATATCACTGAAACAGAATGCATGACAGAATAGCAATTTCATAATAGTGTGATCAGCACCAAAAACTGTGTAACACCGATGAAGATGGGTCAGGAAACACAAATATTATGTTACTGTTTCTTGTAAAATAGTAATGTTTATTTCCATAAAGGTAATCAATTTGAGCATACACTAAAGAATCATTACCTCATCTCGTATTTGCATTACAGCACAGCAACCTATTTGTGTCACAGCAGCATTTGTGAGTCACTGATTCTTGCAAAATTCCTACTGCCACTTGTGATGCAATTAACCAACTTAACCCAGTTTAGAGTAGCCCATATATTTAACATCATCCCAACTCACCTCACCTTTTTCTTGACAGCGGCAGATGTGATTAAACATGATGGAACTTATGATTGGATGGTTTGAACTTTTTAAAATAAATTGTGTTCAATCTATTTGTGTCAGATTGTTGACACCGCATTACGTTGACAACACGCTACTCAAAACCGCTCAAATTACTTTGAATAACTTATTCTAATTGTCTTGGTTAGCCTGTCAACGACAATAATGGGTATGCTCCATGAAGCAGTTCCTCTCCTCCAAACGTAACATAACTTATAGATGGTCACAAAAGCAGTTTTGCTCCTTGCCTTTCCAGCTGCAGCAAAGACGTCTATTTAGGTTTGGCTATTCATATTAAATGACTTCAAATTTGAGATGTTCGCTTCGCATTTAAAATGGGACGGCCTGATTAGTTGCTAAAAACTAGTATCTACCTCAGATTGTAACTGCTATGCAGCTGAGAGTATTGCTGTGTTAAGGAATATTGTGCATAGTACATAACAATCATTTGCCAGTCAGCAAACAATGACAACTACAAACAACATTTTGTTAAAACGGGCATGGGGCTTCAGCAATTTTGAGGCAAATAATCAAAAGTATGGAACAAAATAGTTTAATTACATGTCTTGCGGCATCATAATTTGTTTCATCTTATGAACAAAACTCCATGGATCAAAACAGAAACGGCCAAATTTGGTAACATATCATGCGTTGAAGGCAGGTAAAGTTAGTAATTAGGTGGTCCATAGGAGAAATCTACTGTTTTTTTTTTTAAGAGCAGGTTTTTTTCTGCTCCCGCACACAAAAAGCCAGTATCTTTCGCATGGTTCGCTGACAGACAGAGTCATCCAACCCACCCACAAAATAAAAATATAACTAATATCCACCAGCCTACAAGATTAAAGTGCAAATAAGTAAGATGAGGCCTGCGTGATAAAACAGCTTCGAAATGCAGAATTTCTCTCCTAAACACTTCTGCATTAGCTACGCCAGGTCTGTCCCAAAGCTATGTACGGCAGGATAATGCAACATGGCGATTTAGTGGAACTGGAATGGGTTGGATTTGTCATTACTCACGTCATGTCAGTCACGTCACGAACCCAAAACGTCACGAACCCAAACGTGACGTTAGTCACGTTACGAACCCAAAAAAGGTAGCGGCTTACTAGAGGTTGAACAAGGCAAAGATGGCAGTAAAAAAAAGTTATGTGCTTCAAATTGTTCCTTCCATTCCCTATGAATTGTTCACTTTTCGGTGCACATCAAACATGCTTGGACGTCTGGCGAATTAATCCAACGTATGCATAAAATATGGGCAAGTTTGCAGTTAGAACATTTTGCAGAGAAATTGGTCAACATTTTAAGCCACAGATGGCATTTTAAAGGTTACGGGAAAGGAAGGGAAAATATAGCTACATCACATTCGCATGAGGTCAAGAAAATAAAAGTAATTAGGTAAATATAAAGACTTGAGTTCTTTGTCAAAGTGTGTAATCAACTCATTTGATTAAAACCATGTGAAATTGGCTGCTCAAATAGTGACATTTAGCTTTAAGATTTCATTAAGAAGGCATTTCTTGAATTTTTCACTCCTACATCTCAGGAGTGGTGCAATTTAGCGGTGAAGTTTCCTCGGGTAAAAGAAATACGCGGAATCAAATTCCCTGTCTATCTTTGCTCGTGTTTGTATCAGGCTTCGCTTTGATGGTGTGGTGCTTGCGTGGTGGTACCCAAAAATTGGCGAAG